GGAGCACAAGGGCAGGCGCTGACCTCCAACAAAAAGAAGAAGTAATTTTATCGGAAAGCTTTTTCTTTTCGAAATCCGAATAGAAAGGGTACAGTACAGGTTGTATTCGAATACAACGTGTAGGACCTGCACCGTTTCAATTTCGAAAAAGGACTACCCGCACCGTTTCAATTTCGAAAAAGAACTGCGGCCTCCTCGGCCTCCTACTCGCAGCTACCGGTACCGCGCAGCTACCGGTCCTACGCGGTCCTGGCCCTTGCAAGGCCCCAAAACCAAAAAAACCAAAAAATGACCACCCTCCCGACGACCAATTTGACGTTGAACGTTGAATGTCTCAGGGGGGGAAAGCGCATCCCTGACGTCTGCGAACAGCTCTCCCAGAAGACAATGACCGAGGCGGTGAGGGGCGTAGGGTGGGAGGGCATTGAAGTTTTTCCTCCTGCTTTTCCTCCTGAATACCTTCAAGTCATCCTTGATCCCTGCTGTGCGGAAAGTGAGTCTTCAGTTGAGTCTTCTGGTGCCCGATGGATTGGAGGAAGGTCAAGCCCGCACCGGTGCCGAGCCACGAGTACCTTCCACATGGCCCACCGGTCGACTTCTCCTTCAAGGAACTTAAAGATTTCGCGGAGCTGTTCACGGAGGAACCTCTCAGTGGTACCAGGAAAGCGATAAGCAAGGCCTACAGCACTGGCAGTCAAGTTCTATCTCAACAAGATACAGGATGGGGATTTTCCAGCAAACGAAAGGGCCATGCGGTGGGGTCATCGTCCACGAGAGAGAGCATGGCTGGCTCGACAGTCACTGCCAGAACAGGAAGAACCGGAGGAGGAGGAAAGAGCAGCGGCAGGCTGATGACCGCCACTGATCAACGGCTTGCTGCTGAGTCCCAGACTGGGAAATCGACGGCTAGAACACTAGGGGGGCCCATCCAGCTCAACTCTATTTGCGTTCGCGTGAACAACAATGAGCTGCAAACATGGGAGAACTTTGAGGAGGCGATGGAATCTGTCCTCGATGACGCTACTAAGCTCAGCTGGATAGACCTGTCCCATAACCACTTGACACAGATTGATGACGTCATCACAAAATATAAGGACTTGACGGTCGTCTACCTGCATGGCAACTCCGTGCTGAAGATGACCGACGTTTACAAGCTGGCCGCCCTCCCACGCCTGCAAAAGCTCACGCTCCATGGCAACCCCATTGAAGAAGTGCCGTTCTATAGGACCAAGATTATCGGAGCAATACGGACACTCAAGGAGCTGGACTTCACGGCCATCACGAAGGTCGACCGAGACCGAGCATACGTCGACTACAGAAACCGTGCAGCGCGAATGTTGAACCGGAAGGAAGAGGAGGACTAGGAGGCCTGAGTGGGAGTGTGACGTTGTGTTTCATCCACTGTGCTTGTGTGTTGGGCTGCGGGAGGTGGGGCTGTGTGGGGGGAGAGCGAAAGGGTCAGCTATCACCTAAGAGCATGGGGGTGTCGAGGTACTACTGTAAATAGTAGCATGCCTAGTAGCCGGTTGTAGGTATCATGCAGCAAGACATCCTGGACGCGAAAGCAAGACATGCTGCGGTGAAAATCTGAAGGATAGTAAGACCCCGGTGCAGCCAGATCAAACAGCCGGATGGCAGGCCGCGTATACTGGCCGGAATTCGGAATGCCTGTACCGAAAAGTTGAGTCATTAACAAAAGCTACGCAAGGTAAATTCGTACCGGGATAGATAGTTGGAGGCCTTGGGGCAATGGGGTATGCTCTCCACCGTGGTAAAGAGATATAAGGCAAAGGACGTGGCAGCCATGAAGCGGACGCGCTCTGCATGGAGTGCATCTCAACAAAGTGGAGAAGCAATGAGAGGGTGAGGAGGATGACAAAACAGAATTATGATCGAAGACTTCAGAACGTCGTTGGCTGGCACCAGATTCCCGTTTCAACTTTCAAGTGCTCTCCACGAACGCGGGCCACTTTATCCATTCTGATTCTGCAACGAGGTCAAGGATAGCGCGTCAGGCGCAGAGAGAGAGAGAGAGAGAGAGAGAGAGAGAGAGAGAGAGAGAGAGAGAGAGAGCCCCTTCTATGTTTTAAGTAAAAGATTGGTGAGGGTATCTTCTGTTGGTAAAGGTTGCCACTTGCTGGTGGCTGCGAGGATTACATTTACACTTTTCGAAACGACTGCCGGGGGAGCACACGTGCGCGATTACGTTCCTAAGTCGACTCTGTTGTCACATCTTGGCTTAGGATAGTGATCAAAGGGGGCGCGGGGGGGGGGCGGGGGTGGAGGGAAGGGGGGGGWGGAGGGCGGCGGGTTTCCTCGTTCTACTGCAGGGCTGCCGCTACTAGCGCTAAATACATTGGCGTCTGCTGCTGCTACTGTGAGTACTACTACAACTATTGCTGTCACTGCGGCCTGCAGCTAGGACTATCGCTACTGTCGTTGCGGCTATTGCTATTGCTATACTGCAGCTGCTGCTTGTATTCCTGGTGTCAATGTATTACTGCGGAATTTCTCCACCCACTTCAATAGTTTGGCCATGCTGAATCTTTGCTGATGATGTGAGATTCTCCTTTTTCGTTTTCAGGCAATTGATGCCACTCTGTTGATTCCCTGTGGTATCTGCCCGAGCACACCCGCGGGGACTTGCTGACACTGACACTATCATCCCTGCAGGACGGTCCCTCAGCGCTCTGAGCGAGCAGGATCAAACCCAGGGCCACAGGCAAATGAGAGAATCAGGGGGACCGCATGTACAGCGGGACGTGGATGCATCTGACCGCAAGTACGTCCATAAACAAGTAGAAAAGTTCTAGTGTGAGTATCCCCTCAATGAACATTTCTTGATTGATTTGATCTGATCTCATCTGTGATTCTGTGCGTCACGCGCCGTCAGCTGTTGTCTCCGTCGGTAAGTGAAATCATCGAATCGTCAGACTGTTATGTAAGCGCTGACTTGGTCGGGGGATGGGCAGGTAGGTGGGTGAGGCGATGCGTTGTTGGCCAGTCAATTACGATGATCCCAGCCACACGCCTGGCCTCCTTGCTTGCCTGCCTCCTTGCGTTATCCCCTGCCTGCTTGCTTTTTTGCCAGCTGGCTTCCTTGCTCCGCTCGTCAGGGCTTGTGTTGCCTTGCTGTGCTGCAACTTAAGCCTGGAAGCCTCGCTTTGCTTTGCTGGCTTGCCTGCTTTGCTTTCCTGCCTGCCATGCACTGCTTTCTTCTTCTTTTTTCTTGTTTTTTTTCCTGAAAGAGATCAGGTGTCCCGGCAGGCGGTACAGATTCTGACTGGTAGGGGCCTTGATCCGCCGATCTGCACGGTATGAGCCAAGCAATGTGGCCAACTGGGCTGGACCTTCTCTTGATTTATGCGTGTCATCCTTGCAGTGGATGTCACGATGAACGTCATGCACTGCTTTGCTTTCCTTTGCTTGCATGCTTGCTTGGTCTGGACGTGGCATTGCTAGCTTGTTCTGATCAGCTGCCTTGGCATGCTCGCTGGTCTAGCTTGGTTTCACTTGACTTGTCTGTTTGGCTTGGTTTACGTTGGCTTTGCTTGCTCGCTTGGTTTGCCTTCCCTTGACATAGCTACCTTCTTCACCCGAGCATTTAACTCATCCGATTCCATCGCAATTCGAACTCAGGTCTGCTTTTTAACAGGTGATAAGTGTACCAACTGAGGTAGCTAGGCCAGTCATACAAAGCGCGGTCATTATCGCGGTATCTAGGCTAAGACTTGCCACCCCCAAATACAGCTATAATGACCATACGCTCTATGCGGACGAAGATGGCAGTGTGGTCGGCGTGGTTTCGCTTGCCTTTGTTTGCTCGGTTGGTTCGGGTCGGTTTGACTTGGCTTCCGTGGTTAGCTTGGTCTGTCCTGGCGTTGGTAACTCACTTGACTTGGTTTGCTCTGACTTGGGTTGGCTTTACTTTGGGGAAGTGAGTGAGGAGAGGGGTCGGCTTGACTTGGCTTGTGTGGTTAGCTTGGTCTGACTTGGATTTGGTAACTGACTTGGCTTTGGTAACTGACTTGATTTGGTTTGCGCTGACTTGGGCTGGCTTTACTTAGTACTTGGAGGAAGTGAGTGAGGAGGGGGGTTTGGAGGTGTGGGGCATCATCCGATATCTCAGATGGTTGGGAGCTTGTCTCGCTGATTAACCACTCGGCGAAAGTATAGAAGATCATCAAAATGGGGAATCAGCGACGGAGACAGGCGCACCTACGGCACGACGTATAAAAGGCTCGTCCCTGCGCTGTAGATGACAAAATGGAGAAGGTAAAAAAAAAAGAAAAAGGAAAAGAAAAGACAGAACAGAGAAGGAACTCGTGACATAGCTGAGCCTGTGTGACTGAGTCCGTCGATGCGTACTCCTGATCGTATTTGTCGGAAGGAAATCCATTTTTCGGTTGTCACTGAAGATGGTTGTCCATGTAAGTTCGCCCATTTGCCCCACCGAGGTGCAAGTTCGGGCATACTCACACGGCGACCCCAAATCCACAAAATATGCGGATTTTTTTTTTTTTTTTTAAATTTTAGAAGTTCATCATTTCATTTCACATGGAAAAGAGAGGCCGGGAATTCCTCACAAACAACCCCGAAAGTACTGGGGCCATTACCCAGCTCGGTTTGTGCTGGAAACCGGGTCCAGCGTCCCTTACTTTTCCCACTTGAAACCTCTACCAAAAACAACTCACAGGCTGGTGTACCCAGCTCCTCTCAAATGTCCACAGGCAACCAGATCCAGAGCTAGGCTATTCATACGAGGCATAAGCAGGCCCTTCAATCACCTAGCTCTCTGGTAGCAACAAATTTACATACAATCATTATACGTAAACCCAACCTAAGTCCACTTCCTCAAGTGGGATCAGCTACTTCTGTGTTTTCACCGTTCTTCATGTGATTATCTCCGCATGGTCTTCATTTTCATGATGATCAGCCTGTTGGCCCTGTTCATCCGAGCAAAGCAGTGTTCTTCATTTTCATGATGATCAGCCTGTTGGCCCTGTTCATCCGAGCAAAGCAGTGTCACGCCATTCTTGCCAACGTAGCTCTCTCTCTCTCTCTCTCTCTCTCTCTCTCTCTCTCTCTCTCTCCCCCCTCCCTCCCCTTTTTCCTTCTTCAAGCTGCTGCTTGCTCCTCTTTGATCAGGTTCGAGCCTAAAACAACCCTAGTCTCTGTTTATTCTATTCGTGTCTATATTACCTGGGTCACAGTTATTCTAAACCTAAACCTATTTTCATGTGCCTTCGAATCATTCACGTGTGCAAAATCCAAGATCACCTCTGGTCATAGCAAACTCCCCCCACAAGCACTATCCTCTAAGGGCTCTGGAGATCATCATACAACCAGCCCTTCTGCCAGTTCAGCCGGTCCCTTTCTGATCTGCCTCTCCACCCGTTCCCACTGCTCCAATGTGTCTCCCTTTTCCCGCCAGGTCTTTGGCTTTTCGCCTGTTCTCGTGTTGTCACCCGTTGTCGCCCGTACCAACATTACGGTTCCACCTATTCAGCATAGTTCCCCCAACCTACCTCCAACTTGCTCTCTCCACCCTCTCACTCTCTCTCTCTCGACCCCACCCCCCAACCCTGTCTCTTATACACATCTAGATGTGTATAAGAGACAGCACTCTCTCTCTCTCTCTCTCTCTCTCTCTCTCACACACACACACACACACACACACACACACACACACACACATATTCCAGGACAACAAACTATTCATTTAACCTATTCCGTACCATACGGCGCATACGCCCGTTCACCCGACCTCTCTCTATCTTGCTCTCACCCACCTTCTCCCACTCTCTCTCTCACTTCTTCTAGGGCAGCAAGATGTTCATTAGATGTTCATTTAGCAGCCTTCGCCTGACCTATCTGTCTTGCTCTCGCCAACCCTCCTCTCTCTCTCTCTCTCTCTCTCTCTCTCTCTCTCTCTCTCTCTCTCTCTCTTGTGTAGCGCTTGGCCTTAGTTCTTCAAGCCTACGGATGCATCTCCTCTCTGTGCGGATCCATGGTCTTATCTCCGCGTGAGCAGGAAAGTGCTTTCCTCTGTGCGCTGTCTCAACAGCTCGAATAGAAGCCTGGGCAAAGGCTGCAATAAATGAAAATATGAGCCGTGAAAGCAGCCGCCGTCCTCCTTAAGTTGACTGCAGAGATGAACTTGGATGTGAAACCAGCCCCGATAGGATAAGCTGATAAGTGAATCTGGTACTGGAAATGGCAACAATCATTTCAACGTGCAGCTCTGCAACCCTCCCATTACTTTTCGAAGCAAGTCTATAAAGGTGCATGTGAGGGTTCGTTGCCCTCCTTTCTGTATTAGATATATGCTCGCGAAACTGGCCTTGAGTTCGAGGCGAAAGCTATCAGGAGTTCCATAGGAAGGGCGTCCTCAAGCGCTCTTCGGTTCCGTGTGTTGTAAAGGAAGCGCCCTGGGCCATCGAGTGCTCTTCCGTTGTGCGGCTTTGGTATCCACGCAAGTCCATCCTGCAGGGCTGTATAACGCCCGTTCAGGAGGGCACAGCTTGCCAGCCGTGACTAACGCCATCGGAAGCACGCTGCACCTGACAGTGTTCTTCGGTTCAAAATGTTCGGAAGGTTCTGTAAGAAGGCGCCATCTCTCTCTCGTTCTGTTCCGCGCCTTGAAAGCTTCCATCTCACTCTCCTTAAGCTCCACAGCTGTAGCGGTACCCTTCGGCCCGACAGTGAGGC